TACAACAATAAATAAAGCTCATTATTTATTCGTAATTCCGTTCAGAAAAGTTGATTTTCTTTTCTTTTCTTTTTTTCTTTATGTTAGTATTTAAACATGAGTTTTAATAAAAAATTAGAAATTCCAAAAAGCTTTTAAGTATTAGATAATAAAAGTTAAGTATGGATTGAAAAATTCCAAAAATGTATGCAATAAAAAAAAGTACGTATTGATGTAATTACTTTTCATTCAAAGAATCAAAAGTCAAACTTGGTGATACACCTTACGAAATTTTGGGATAAACTTGATTGCTTAAACTAGAAAAAAAGAATCAGTTTATACTCCTTTTATCCATAACAAAAAAAAAAGTTTAACGGAAAGAATTTTTTTTTCTCCCTTTTTCATGAAATTTCAGCTGAACTGTATTCAATACATTCATTTAAACGAATGATAAAGGTATAATATAGATTATGTATGATTTCTTAAGAAGAAACTTTGGAAAAACATATAATTTATTTTTCTATCAAGAATTGTTTGTACTTCATGATAGTTTTAGTAGGATTACGAATAAAGAAAATTTCAATACCATTTTGTGAAAAAGATAAGAAAAATAAAAAAAGTAATCATTTTCAAAGATCAAAAAAAAGGTCTTGTATAATAAATTTGGTGACGCACCCTAAAAAATTTCAGTGATGATAATTTATTTTTTAAAATGGTTTTTCTCATATAAAATTCATAATGAAGTTATACTTCATATGTAATAATCAATTGGTAACATCACCAATAAAATAATTGATACCTAACGTGATGATTATAGAACTTGTTTGAAGGAATTTTTTCAATTCGTACGATTTATCCAAATGGAATTAAAGAATGTGATATATCATTGGACATACAACTCTTTAATTTTTGTACTCTTACAAAATCAATCCTCTCAAATTTTACCCGTAAAAAGAAATCTTTTGTTCGTAGCTTATATGGTAGCTGCAAATGCAAATAATCTATATTCTTATGATGATTAGGGAATGGTTATTGACTTAGATGGAGTTATTCACAAGTAAATAAATTGGCTTTTTTATATATATAAAATAAACTATACATCGAAATAACTAGTATTGTATTTTCTTTTTATAATAAAATTAAACTAGGACTTCTTTTGTTGATAACGAATGGTCGCCCGGCCAAACATTCTATTACATTAAACGTTCATCGTGATGATGGATTTCTTCTTGCTACACCTATAACAAAAAAGTAATCAAATATCCTACGGGCAAACAGTTGCAACGACAAATGGAAGATATGCGACCATCTTTTTCACGTATTTTTATTATTATTATTAATTAAAAATGATTATGTTCCTTTATTAGTTAAAAACAATAAATTTTTGAAACATTTAGAAACGTTTCGCTTAGAACTGAAAGTAAAATAAAAGAGTAAAATTTTGATCTTCGAAATTTTTAAAAAAAAAACTTCGAAGTTGGAATTATTATTAAATTCTATATTTTTACTCAGGGGTGATCATCACCGTTGGCCAGAATTATCAATTTTTACCGGCACTATATTTTTTAATGCTGGTCGATCGTCATAATTTCAGTCACCGGTGATCATCACCCCGGTGATAGTTAGAAAAATCTATTATTATTATTTTATTATTCGCTGACAAATCACAAATTACTTTTTCTTATTTGAATTACTACTAACCTACTCACTCATTTATTTTAAGTAAGGAACTGACCAAAATGGAATATTTATTTATTTATTTTTTTTTTTCATTTTATAAATTACTAATCGACCCATTTTTTTCTTCATTGCTATTTTAGGTTCAGACTTAGAGCTTCAGAACGGATTGGAAGGTACTAAGGTTACCTGCCTAAACCTCTCCAAAATTCTACGATTAGTTTCTCTAAGATTTTACTATAGTTTTATTATAGTTTTGGCAAGGTTTCAGCAGTTTCGGCATTTATAATAAGTTTCGTCAGGTTTCACTTTTCTCCAGAGTTTCGCTAACTTTTTAATAAGACTTTCATATAGTTTCGGCAAAGTTTTGCTATTTCGGCATTTCGCCAACTTGCCAAAACCCCTAGTTTCTCCAGCAACCTTAGAAGGTACTGATTTAAATGTAACAATGTGAGTATTTTCTTTCCATTTTGAATATTACTAATTAATTGTTTTTTAATTTTTTATTTTTTTTCATTTCAAAGATTACTTTAGGTTTCAGATTTGGAGTTTCAGAACAGAACTGATCAAAATGAAATAATGTGAGTATTCTCTTTCTATTTTGAATATTACTGATCAACTTTTTTTTTGTTGTTTTTTTTCATTTTGAACTAATTTCTCTATCTTTTTTCTTCATTTCTATTTTAGGTTCAGTCTTGGAGCTTCGGAATAGAAGGCACTGATCGAAATGGAACAATATAGGTAGATTACAAATGTCCGTTTAATAATTATTTTTTTTCTCCATTTCAAATATTATTAATCGACGTTTCTTTTCTTCATTGCTATTTTAGGTTCAGACTTGAAGCTTCTGAACAGAGATACTGATCGAAATGGTATATTTCTAATTAAATGGTATATTTCTAAAAGGATAAGTGTTATTAATTACCGTAGTTAGATAAATAAAATATATAAAATATCAAACATTTTAAATCTACAAATTATTCTTACTTATTTTGCCTTTATGATCAATGTACGCAGTTTCTTATCATCGGAAACACACATTTGGCGTAATTCAGGAATTTCACTTTTACTAAACTTAACAGCTTGGTCTGGATTCTCATCTTTAACGTTCTAAACATTCCAACCGACAATTGAACGATTGTCTTTACTATAAGTTACGAGATAATTTCCTTTTGGCGATACTTCTAATTTCGTAATAGGTTGATCGTTATGAAATTTATCAGTATCTTTATCAATATTGTTGCTTATATCAATATCGTCTTTATCATCGATCTTACGGAGATTTCATCCATTTTACTCATATATTTCTTTGAAAAAAGGGAGCTAACCTAACGGTTAACTTTTCTTATTTATTTTATATTGAAGTTAACACTGTTAACAAATTTTATTGTTATTATGAAATATTAAAACTTAAAAGAGAAAATCCTCATAAAAAAAAATTCTTGAAAAACCCCGATAAATGATCATTTTTCCGAAGAAACTCATCATTTTACTGAAAAATTTTTTATGCATCACTTGCATTAGTTGCATAGACGGCGTGCAGTCGGCGTGCTTATTACCACCCGGGTGTAGCTAAAGTTGTACAATTATTTCTTCATTGTCTTTTTTTTTAAACAATATCCCTTTCTTTAATCTCTTGATATTTAATTCTTTTTTTTTTATCAATAAATAAACGATAATCTACTCATACTTTGACGTAGCAAAACATTACTATATTTTTTAACATTTTTTTGGTAATTTGGTATCAGATGATTTGCGAAAAAGGAGCTTGTTTATTACTTAACGTATACAGTGAACGAAAATTTAAATTATAAGTCATATAAAAAAATCGTCAAGTTTTTTAAAAAAATGTTTTGTTAATTGTCGGAAATGAGTGATTTTTTGGCGATATGCTCTTATGCTCTAAATTTATTTAAATAATAGTTCGATGTTTGTTGTAGATATAAATTTTTATTACAATATAATATATTAATAGATTTACAAAAGAATTTATAAAAATTTTGTGAAACATCTATCAAGACATACTATTCTAAGGGGGGTGTATAGTTTTCCTGGAAGATTATAAAAATATCAAAATAGATTTATTATTTTTTAAAAAAAATCGAATAAATTTGGTTGTTAAAAAAATTGAGATGATAAATTAAATTTGTATTTTTTGTATTACAGATCGGATTTGAATTGAATGTGTCTATCCTAAAAAAAAAATTTTCCGTTTTTTAATACGCAAATAACTCAGTGTAACACCTGAAAAAAATAATATGATTAGTGGATCAATTATTGGTACATCAGTACAGTACAATTGGTACAATTAATTGCATTACGTAATAAGATTAATGGCGTAACAAAATTAGGAATGTAAACGTAGCACAAAAAAAAAAATTGAAAGAATAATGGAAAGTTGTACCACAAATTTTAGCTACACGCCATTATACAGTAATAACTGTTTTTATTAAAATTTTAATTTTATAATAATCATTGCTTCTAAAAAAAAATTACCTTTTTTTTATGTCTTTCGCCTAAAGGTATTTTTTCTTTAATTATTTTTTATTTTTATTTTTATTTTTTTTTTAAAAAAAAGTCCTTTTTAGAAAAACAATAATTTGTGATAGATAATAATATTTGTAGAACGAATCCTCGCATATCAACTTAATCTGATCGGTATATTGCTGATATAGAAATCGAAAATTAACTCTGTAAGGGAAATGATATTATACCGCACCAACGAAGTAATGAAATATCGAGTAAAATTTTAATTTCATTATTTCAAACATTAATAAATTAAAATTAATACAGGAAAATGCTATAATTCCCAAATTATATGACCAATATATGAGTGAAACAAATAAGTGGAAGGTATGTAGTGAACATAAGAGTATTCGTGAGTAGTAAGTTTCTTTTATTATCAAACAAGAAATTTATTATTTAAATATGCTTTCATATTTAGGTTAAAAATTTAATATTTATTCAATGTTGTAAACTTTATAAACAATATACATACAGTAAATAATTTATAATCATAAATAAAAATAATAAAATAAATAACTAATACATTCTTTTTAAAAAAAAAAAATAATAAATTTCCAATAAAAAACCTTAAACTTGTTGAATATTATCGTTGTTGAGGTTGAATAGGACCCCGAACAATATATAAATAGGTCATAGGAAATTGGCAAAATTTTACTATTAGCTCTACGCATTTTTTCAGGGCCGGAATTATGATAATGTCAGTCAGTTACTAAATAAAGTAATATATTTCTTACCAACGTTATCAAAATTTATCTAAAAAAGGAAAGATTTTCATGATTATTTTAGCCTATTCTACGCGTTATTTCTTGTTACCTATTTCAGTATTGCTCGGGGTCCTGGTTGAATGATGCCGGACTATTCTCATATTCTTGAGTATAATCGCCACGAAAAGAAGGAGAACCATTCACGATTTCGTCGTTAAAATTATCTTGCATCATATTTCCATGCAAATTTTGTTTATAAATTTCTTTAGTTGCCAAGTAATTAATTAAATATTGCTTCAAGTGAAATTTAAGGTGTAGTGGAGAAATCTCCTGTTGTTGCTGTTGATGTTGTTGTTGAACACTCTGCTGGTTGTAGTTTATATTATAAAATTTTTTATTTAAAAATTGGGATGAAGCTAATTCGCAAGTTACTTGATAAATTTTTTTCGTATCAATTTGACTGTGATAAAATACATAACTTTTCGGTTGATCATAATTATAAGTTTGGTTGTTGTCATCGGTATCATTTGTTAATTGATATACAAGTTCAAAGGAAATTGGTACTTCTTCACAAGTAATATGATAATTTACGAGAATACCTGGTGGATTATAAAAGAAAGCCAGGCTTGGAGTTATTGGCTGCATACTATTATTACGTTGACCAGTTGCAGAAGTCATGGGAGACAAGTTCCCGTAAGGTAGTGAAGATGAAGGTAGAATATTATTTTCTTGAGAAATACTCATTGAGTATTATTTTATAAAAAAAAAAAAAGAAAAAAATTTGAGAAAAATGGTTGAATTTATATAATTTTATCCTGTGTAACGTAATGATAACTGTATCAACTGCGCATTAAAAAGTCATACGTAGAATTTTGTCGATCATTTCCAACGAAACTTGTTACCACACGTTGTTATGCACCATTTACATAATTATGCAAATGTAGTAATTTTTATATGTATTTATTTATCCGTTCCTAGGATATTTTGCAGTAAAAATTACGGATTTGAAAATTTGAGTAATTCATTGCATTTTTCAAATAAGAAAAACTTGCTTTTAGTTTGTTCATAATCTCAATATTGTTTTTCAAGCGTAATAATAATAGTTCCGAAGCTTTTTAAAATTTAATCATTTTTTTAAAATCTTTTAAAATAAAAAAAAAACCAAGCAAAAGAAAATAGGATTTCAACAATAAAATATACTATTTATACTCATGATATACTATAAAGTACTTACTATTGTGTAAATGGCAGAGATAAATCAATTATATTAGCCCTGTTCATTCCGGTCGGTCGCACTTTTCGGTCAGATTTAAGTTAATTTTGATTTGGTCGAACGCCAAAAATAACCAACCAAAATTGGATAATTTCTGTTTACGTAATATTTAGCAAAAATATATATATCAATAGATTTGTACAACAAAATCCGACCGAAAAATGCAACCGACCGGAAATGAACAGGCCTATTATGGCTAATTGGAATAGTAAAATTTTACTTTAGAATCCGGCCTATCGGCCGATCATTTATCCGATTCTAGTAAAATTTCACTTTATTCCTAATTAGCCAGGGTATAAGTAATATACTAATACAGTAGATTTTTTTTTTAACAAAATATGAGATTCTTTTTAATAATAATAATAATACAATTTAAAAATACATTCAATCCTCTTTTTGAAGAGATATCAATTCTTTTTATTCAATTCAATTTTTTTGTGAAAAATGTTACACAAAATTACACAACATGTCACTTATCTCTTTTAGGTCTGATCCTGTAATACAATTATTTTCTATTAACTATTTATGTGTATCAAAGAATTTTGTACCATGTAAACAGTCGTAAGTAAAAGAATTTAATTCTCTTGACGCTTCAGTTTATAATAATAACCTTTTCTGAAAAAAATTTATAATCAAGAAATTTGTCTCAATTAAAATTAAATTCATATTTTTATATTGCTTTGTTAAGTTTTACTTTGTTTAATTTGGTTATTTTGGTCTAATTATTTATTCAAGTTTGTATTATGATAACTACTGTACATACAATAAATAAAACAAAAATTAATCAAGGGTGAAGTAAATAATTAAGATATAATTAGGATTATTTAACAAAAGATCTAAAAATAATTATTTTATATTTCCAATATTTTCAATAAAATTTTGTGGTGATTTCCCTTATTACTCCTTATTACTTGAGCAATAATTAATTAATAGTTTTATGTAAATAGTATTCATAATAGAAAGCAGCATTTTATTATAATTGTTACAATAAGATTTCTAATTTATTTATTTGATGAAACCCTTTTTTTTTCTCATTTCCTAAAATAAAATACGGTATCGTTTTTATAAACACTATTATGTAAATCAGTATCACAGACTCGGGTAGTACATTTTTTGATTTACAGCGTGTAACGACTGTAACGTTCATTAGGTTATATGACTAACTTGATAATTCAAGAGTTATGACGTTATGACTCCAACTTCGTTCTGATTTATTTATTTATTTTGTTTCAAATTTATTTCTTAATAAAATTTAACCATGTCTGATATTCGTAAAGAATTAGTTAGAGCTGCAATTAACAGAGCATATGCTTTAATAGACTATAGTGTTTACAATAATGCACACAAAGAATATGAATTTAAAAAACAAACAATTATTGATGATGAATCGCTTACAGATGATGAAAAATCTGAAGCAATAGAAATATTAACTGGATATTATGACGAATGTAAAATTGTAAATAATGAAGGAACAAAAAGGATTTGTGAAAATTGTAACAAAGAATGTTTAGCTATATTATATTGTGAATATTGTGTTCGAAATTATTTAAAAGCAAATTTTTCAAATTGGACATCTGGAAATGATAATATTGATAATTTAATACAAGAATGTCAGATGAAAGCAATAAGCCCATATTTAATACCAGAATGGATTCCATATAATAATTTTCAAAATGTCAAATATCTAACAAAAGGCGGATTCTCAGAAATTTATACAGCAGATTGGATTAATGGGCATTTTATTAAATGGGATTCTAAAGAGCAACAATTAAAAAGAATTGGAGAATCTGGATTTGTACAATATGTAGTACTTAAAAGATTAGATAATGTTGAAAATGCAAATCAAAGTTGGTTTGAAGAGGTTTGTAATATATAAATATTTTAAAAAGGCAATAACTAAACTTTGTACTAAAAATTTTGATACAACTTTTTGTAGGCTAAATCACATTTAACTATAAGCAATAAATGGGGAGAAGTTGTCCAATGTTATGGATTAACACAAGATCCATTAAATGGAAGTTACATGCTTATAATGAATCAATTGGATATAAATTTAAGAGAATATTTACAACAAAATCATAATCAACTTACATGGAAAAAAAGGATTCTAATTTCTGTTGATGTAATTAAAGCGCTTTTAAGAGTTCATTATGAGGATGCAATTCATAGAGATTTGCATTCTGGAAATATATTATTTAAAACTAGATTTAGTATTAGTGATCTTGGATTTTGTGGACCTTGCAGATAAACCATTAAAAAGTATATATGGAAATCTTCCTTATGTAGCACCTGAGGTTATTATCGGAAACGAACAGACTTTTAAATCTGATATTTATAGTATTGCAATGCTTATGTGGGAAATTTCATCTGGACAACCACCATTTATTAATTATGAACATAATTACGATCTCGCTATGAATATTGTTAATGGCATAAGACCAAAAATTGTATCAGGAACTCCTTTAGAATATAAAAATTTAATGAAACAATGTTGGGATGCTGATTCGTCAAAGCGACCTGATACTGACACACTTTGGAAAAAAATAAGTGGAATTAATTTATTTTATCAAAGTAAATCAAATGAATCATTGACTCAACGAGAAGAGAATAATTATTTAGAAATAGATAGTAATATCAATAGTCTAAAAAATTATATGAATAGTACAAGTAAACTTCATCAATTCGAAAATCTTCCTGAACCAAGGAATGCAACAGAAGGTAATATAACTAGTTATTTACTTTTCTAGTTAATTATTTAAAGGATACTAATTCTAATGATACTATTTTAACTAAAATAATAGAAGAATTAGAAGGTAATAAAATATTTTAAATTTTCTTATTTTATAAATAATTTAAATTAAATATTTTGAAATTTTAGCATTTTATAGTAAACCTTATAACTTTTATATTCCTGATAACAGTAAGTATTATTAGATTAATGTAAATATGTGCGTTAACTAATTGATTTGATGTTTTTTAGTTGATGATTTTGGTAAATCAGTTAATCAAAGGGATAGTGATACGTTAATTAATAAAGGTATTTCTATTTCATTAGTTCATTTATTTAACATGAATAATAATATTGACAATAATTTATTGTTTAGATAATAGTAAAATTTTACCCCAAGTTTTTAATGAATTACAAATAAACTCATCAAAAACTGGTAAGTAAATTTAATCAAAATATGCAATTTAATTATCACAAATTGTTTATGATTATTATTTAATTTATTGTTTAAAATCTTCAGATGTTCAAAACAATTATTATAGAGAAGAAATAATGCAACAACAAAGAAAGAATATTGATATTGATGGTATTCAATATAATTATCTAATGATTGCAATTTATTTTAGAGTATTGTTTATTTTCTAATTTTATTTTAATATAGATGAGGTTCAAAATAATCCTAATCTTCATTCAGAAGAACAAGAGGAATTGGAAATTCCTGATAGTAAGAATTTTTTTATATTAGTGTTTGAATTTTATTTAATTTTAACTAAATTTTTTAATTTAGACATTTAGATACAGATGTATTTATAAACACTATTACAACTGAAGCATTTCTTATTATAAATTATTTAAACACTAAAGACTAGAGTAGTAAGATACTATATCTTTCAAGATTCTTAGTTTGTAATTTAAATAATTTGTTTATTTATTTTATATTTTAACATGCAATAAAATAAGTTTATCCATATTATTATTTTAATCCTTTTCTTTAGCTCTCATGAGAAATTATAAATAACATAATTATTTTTTGTTAAGCTAAAAAGAAAGTAAACCAAATCATACATAATATTTATCAAAATTTGACGAGTTTTATATATTTATAATACGTAACATTTGTATTTAAAAAACTATTTTTAAAATTATGTCAATTTAAACTTTATAGAAATTCTTGTATTTTGTTATTTGACAAGAAACGATTGATAGTTCTATACATAAAAGATTTATCAAACCGAGCTAAATATTATAGTAACATTCATCAATTTCTAGTTTGCTGCTCTGAGGAAGAGAGTTATTATAGATATTTTACATACTTTTCGGGTGAAATATAGTATGTATAAAGTGTGACTGTAATCTGATCATCTGGATTTATCGTATTTTATTTAATTTGAGCAAATACTTTGCCCGAGTTAGTTAAAAATTATATAAAATATCAGTTAAATCCAATAGCCATATGATTAAAAGATTTATTTTTTAAATAAAAAAATTTTTGAAGCATTTTGCACAATACGAAAATGTAATAGAAAAAATGTATGATATTTTCACAAAACTATTAATGGTTATAAGTCGGTAATACGAAAAGTTGTAGAGTCGGATCAACCAACTGAGTATTGTATGACGTTAAAATTGTATTGAGTATGGTATGTATAATCATACAATACATTAATTATACAATACATTACATGTTAGTTGATATACTTATTAACATTTGAAATGTGTGATGTATAACTTTTTAAATTTCAATTTCATACTCAATTGCTTTTTATTTAATTTATGTTATAATTTTACTGAAATCTATTTATTAAAGAATAAATATATGTAAAAACTTAATAAATTATCAAATTTTAGTGGTATTTTTGATTTATTTATAAAATTCTATATACCGATATAATAGCGGTCAAAATAGAAATGATCTGCTAATTACTTCGTTTAATTTGTAAAAAAAAAAGATTGCTGTTACCTAGACTATTTAGTAGAATTTAACACATGTTCTTTTTCGGCAAGTGATAATTCCATTTCACGAATTTTTGCTTCTTTTTCTCTTAAAATAAGTTCACGTTCCCTTAAAGCTAAAGCTCGTTCTTGAAATTCAAGCTCACTTAATTTTAAAGTTAATTCACTTTCTTTATCATCCCCTTCAGTACCATTTCTTGTTTTAATCTTTCTGCTAGAAATCGTACATATATTCTCTTTATCATTCTCTTCAATTTCAATAATATTTGTTTTAGTTTTCTTATTAGAACCTGTATGTTCATTTTGTTTACTTTTGGTAGGAACTACTTTCGTCAACTTCTTAGCTATATAAATAAATTATAAATTTAAACAATTTAATGTTAATTACAATATTTTTATTTAGCATTACAACTGAAATTTTAAAAATATACTTACCATTACGTTTATTGGACATAACATTACGTGAAATCAGACCTTTATCACTTCCTTTATTTGGTATATTATATTTTTGGTGAACATAAATGGTAGTAAATCTTTCTTTATCTAATTTTTGACCACTGTAATAAATTAACTTAATAAATAAATAATAATTTTTTAAAGTACAAATTATATATCTACATACTGTAAAATAGCCGTTAACAATTTAAGATCTCTTCCACGTTGATTGCTTAGCGCATGAGCCGATTCTGCTACATTTGTATTATCAGGTGATGTTATCCAAACATCATTAGCAATTTTTGACATGGATTTATTAAGTGACGCAATAACCCATTTTTGACGATAGAACGTAATCCAATCTAAAAATAATACCATTTAGTAATATATATTACAATAAAAATTCATTTATTAAGTTTTACTAACCTGCAGCATTCTCTTCAATTGCTTGAATATCATCAAATACTTGATTAATTGCACTTTCTGATTCAGCTGTAAGAAGTGCAATCATTTTGTTCTTTACAATATCATTGTAACCCTTTTCCCTAATTTTTCTAAATATTAATAATTAAATAAATTAGTTTTTTTGTTTAAATAAAGTTTATTTATAAATATAATATCTTTTTTTAATAGTTTTTCTTTAGACTTAAAAAAAAACAAATAATTACCTTTTATAATGGACTAAACAAGATCTAAAAATATGAACCAAATGTTCCTCCCAGTCCTTTGTATTATCAATTTCATTTAGAGCCAATCCAAGTCCTTTTGCTTGGGCATAATCAAGATCTGCAATGATGCAATTCCAACCAGATCCATGAATATGTTTAAACTGAGGGGGTAAACCCATTAATTGTAATACAAGATCAAATAAAACGTGAAAAATTCTTTGATACGCAATAGTTGTTGCACGATTAGTAAACACTCGGGCAAATGTAAGAACTAAAAATAAATATCAATTATCAATTAATATATATAGTAATTTCAAAATTTATAGTATTAAAAACAATAAAATATATTAAATTATCATATAGTAAGAAACTTACTCAAGTTATGTTCATTACTATAATAATTAATCTCAAATTCATTTATTTCACCCATTACACGCTTGAAAGACAAATCGATTTGAAAATGTTTGCACTTTATCCATTCATTTAATTGTTCAGAAGTTGTACAAATAATTATTACATGTTCATCTTCAAAGAATTCTAATAATAAAAATAATATATTATTTCCTTAAAACTGTCATTAAATAAATTAAATACAAAAAGTAAAATTTACTTTTAATTTTTACCTAAACGTTTTACATAATCACGAAAATTATTAATATTACGTGAATAATTGTAAACAACTCCTAGCAATCCTTGCCCTTGTGGATGAATTTCTTTCTGAATCTTATCAATATAATACCGAAGACGATCAGTATTATTTAATGATGCATGTATATCAGAAAGATATTCAACGCCAAAATAAGTTTTAATTAAATTTCCTATCAAATAAAATACATACAATTAGTATGAATTTAAAAAATTTTTATAAAAATAAAAAAAAATCTTGTATAATAAATATAAATAAATATAAATAAATATTTATATATTTTATTTTTTTATTATTTACCTGTTATAATATGAGTTGGAGTAACATCAGTATTATCATTATTTGCTTGGTGAATTAATTCTTGTAGACGTGTATGAATAGTAACAGGTACTTGGTTTGGAGGTGGTGGAGGATGAGTATGAATTCCTTTTGATTTAAGGATCACAAATGGACAGCTTTTAATATCAACAGGAATTAGTTTAGAAAATCTAACTTCACATAATTTTTTCATAAGCTTTCCTTGCGTAATGGTATTTTCTGAACGATGTGGATGTGCTGATAGTATACATAATTATGTGAATAAACTGAAGTAATTTAGCAGTAAAAGTTAAAAATTATATTAAAATTTAATGACTTACGACAATATATTCTTTTCGTACTATTGCTGAATACTAAATAACAATTATTTACTGGTTCATCCGTTTCTCCCTAGAGTATATATTAAATAAATTAAATAAGCAAATAAAATATTTAATTTAATATTCAAAATATTTATATCTAACCTCATATAATCCATTTAAAAGTTGTTGAAGTAAGTTAAGGTCTACATTTTCTTTAATACTAATAAACTGATGAAATTTTTCATTCATTCTCCAACCAGTACAACCAATAAAATATGATGGAGGTACAGTTTCATCATGATGTCTTAAACATTTTAATATAGGTTTTCCATTACATTGAACTCCATCACGCATATATCGACATTCAGTTTTGTATGCAGCTAAATATTTACTAAAATAAAAATAATAAGCAAATGATCGCTATTATGCATGACAAGGATTATTGTACAACTAAAAATAGTATAAAAGACCTTAAGTTTCCAAATACTTACGCAAAAGTGTTATAATTCACATTATCAGTTGATAACTCTTTACTCATTCTTAAACGTAAATCTGAGTTAGGATCTACCGACTTGTGTTCCATTTCCCGAAGTTCTGGATCTGCAAATTCACAAATCTTTACTCCGTGGCATGTTCTATCTTTTTTAATTACAGCAATATCACCAAGATATGTACAAGTTGTTTTATTTTGGCCACAAGGCAAACCCATAGAATACTGAACCTTCAAAAATAATGAAATAATTAGTATTTTTAATATAATATATAATTTAAAATTAACTGATATTACATCTTCAAATGCCATTTCTATATTTTGCCACCCTTCAACATGATAAATTATTGCAGTTCCTTCTTCACTAGTTGGTGGGTATTCTAATGGAGTTAATGAGTGAATTATCGTTTTAACTGTGATATTTTTTGTAATATATATTTCTGTATTATCTTCCTGTTTAATTAAGAATATATTTATATAATTGAAATTTTTTATTATTATAATATATTTACTTTATGAATATACACGTAAAAAGCAAGTTTACCTCCGAAACAAGATCTTCTTCATAGATGATATCTTCTTTATTAACAAAATTAGTATAAGACATGTTTATTTCACAGTGAAAAGTCATCTGTTTAACACGAAAACAATAAATGGTATTTAAACGCGTGAAAAAAAATTTTTCTCTTTCTTTATTTTATATCGTGTATAACTGACCAGATTATCAGATCATAAGATGATTTTATACTATATATATACTAGTATTAGTTTCACAAATCATGCTGTATAAACTAATTTCGAAAGTTGTCAAGTGATCATACACATCATCAATTTAATATCATACAGTACTCAGTTGGTTGATCCGACTCTACAACTTTCCGTATCACTCGTTATAAGTCTCAGTTTTTTTGTTCTTTCATAATACACACATTACGTGATTAAACTTCTCATTTCAAATGTATTAATTTTAATCCTATTAAGGATTCAAGACCGTTTCTAAATTTCAGAACACAGAAATGAGAATTACAGTATCTTATAATATACTTACTATATATTTAAAGATAATTTAAATTCAAGAAAATTATATTTAAATATCCATTTACACAGGTGATTACGATAAATTAGATTGGTTTGTTCTAGAGAAAATATCCGGTATATCAAAACATCCAATATGTAATTGTTATCGGTCATGTTGTAGATGATAACTGATTTACCACTAGGATTGCTATGTATATCATATGGCCGAAGGCCACATGATAGAGTAGCATCCTAGTGTAAATCAGTTATCATAAACATGACTGATAATAAAGTTATTGGATATGTATGACGTAAAGCAACTGAGACCTTTTTCGCGTATCTTATTTATTATTTTATAATAATGTGATCAAAATTTTGTATATCACTAATTATAAAGTGACCAAAATTTGTGTATCACTATTATAAAGTGATCAATAACATACATGAAAAATGTCCAGTGCTTACATAGAACATATACAATAAATTTTTATACCGGATTTTATATGATAATTATGTTAGGTTTTTGTGTATTAAGGTATAGAAAAGTGAAACTATTTTTAAAATTTAATTGAAAATAAAAAAATTGTATGAGATATTTGTGAAGAATTTTGGATATAAAATAATTAATTTAATTTAATTCTGGTCGAAATTAATCATTTCAACCGGAATTAAGCATTTTTTTAAAAAATTACAATAATATGAAGGTACCGTATGTTAAAAAAATTTGAAAAAATTTTGATATATCAAGATTTTTTTGATATCGACTTATAAAATATTATGACTTTACTAATAAAATTTGGACAGATTTGGTTCTGAGAGAAAATCTGAAATAACGCCAATTCCAGATTTGAAGATCTGATCACCTGTGTAATCAATCAAATGAAGTCAATTGGTTTTTTATATATATCAATTGATTCATCCTTTAATAATTTTCGTAAGTCACGTTTCATTTTATTAATTTATTGATCTAAGACATTTTTATTTATATTGTTATCACCGATTTGGTTTGAAGTGATAACTAACGTCATAGATGTCAAATTGAACAGTCGTGACAAAAAGGCCAAGTAATAAAATGATAAGTGTTTTGATAATATTGTAACTAAATATAAGAGTATTACTAATAATTCTCAGTAGAAAATTAATAATGATGGTAAAAAATGTAAGAGTTTCTTAAAGATAGAAATCTATCAAACAAATAATAACAAACACAAAGGTAAAACAAATAAAACACGCGAAAAGTTTACTACAAAGAAAAAACTAACAAACAAATTATACAAAAACACAATACTTCGGATAACACAATCTAAACTCACTGTTAGATTTACCCAGGTGTTAACAATCTTTATTCAAAAGAAAATATTGCTCTATATATGCTTACATTTTCACACATGACAGTTTGAACTTATCAATATTATCCTATTATACTAATATGAATAATCAATTAATTGTCCTTTTTCCATTGCAATTATCTGCAAAAACCTTTCCATTACCATTTCGTATAAGTTCTATATGATTCATCAACAGTATGTAAAGTTTAAGAAACTTCTCTAGCTAAACTAATAAAGCAATTTTCTACGGTTATAATAATTAAACTGATACTTATAATTGAATACTTATGAGTCAAAAATAATAATAATACTAAAAGTGGTTAATTAATGTAAGTAACTAATAAAACTAAAATATATTATAAGAAATGTTTCATATTGTAATAAACTCAGCCATAATCATAGGATTTCTGCGTGCTACATCATGTGACTTGTTCGATCTTCAACTATTTTCTTTGATTAATTCTATCTTAAGCAAAAATTTTGGTAACAATATGAACAAATTTTTCAGAAAAATGATCACGTGTCTGAGTTTCTTTGGAATAAAAACTAGAAAAACGATCATTTATTCCAGAATTTTTTTATAGAGTTGCCAAACACTAAAACAAACATAGTATAAAACTTAAAGTATTAATTAACAACTAATACTGAATGTTTAAGACTGACAAATTAGTATACATTAAATCATGTGCAATTAATATTATGTAATATTACTATTTACAAACACACACATCGACTATAAATAGTCATCAAATTTATGCGAACAAACTTACAAACTTCTCCTTTGAATATATTTTTTCTTCACAAACATGGCATACTCAAAACTATTTTTAGGAAATTTACCTGAATTAATATGTGAAATTATACAGTATTTTAGGAATGATCTTTCAACATTGTATTCATGTATTTTAGTCAACAAATTATGGTGTCGCTTAGCAATTCCATTGTTATGGGAAGATCCATTTTCTTCAACTCACGTTCAAAATTTTCAATTTATTGAAATTTACTTATGTAATTTAAATGAGGATGATAGAACAAAATTTAATGAATATGTAAACCAATTAGTGAATATGGAATTAATGGCAAATTGTAAACAATTAGTGAATATGGAATTAATAGCAAATTGTTCCAGTACATTATTCAATTATTCTAGTTTTATTAAACGTTTAAATACACATAAAGTTGCTTATTCTATTGAAAATTGGTTAATGGATGATAAACATTGGGAAAATTATCCTAGTTTTATTGAACTAATTACTAAAAATTTGCTTATACATTTGGAGATCTCAATATTAGTTTATAGATTACTATTTAAAATGTTTATTGAAAATGAAGGAAATTTACATTCTTTTGAAGTTGAAGTACGTACATATGATGATCGTAATTACTATCTTAATGATACTATGGAATTAACTTTACAAAATCCAAATTTTACTTGCAATATTAGACATTTAAATTTAATATTTTATATGGATATTATATATATCGATATTAATACAAATTTCTTTCTTTTACTAAAATTTTTATGTTCTAATTGTAATTCAATCTCATCATTTTATATTAGAATTATTAATATTTATAAATTTGAAGGGACTAAGCATGTTGAAAAATGGTTAACACAAATGATTAATACACAACAGAATCTCAAAAAAATTTCATTTGAACAAAATAACTTTTTATACTATTCATTTTCATCATTAAAAAATTCCAATATTTCAAATACTTTGAAAATAATTACATTCTATATAATTGATTTTAAGGAAATAATTAATAATATTCAAGAAATATTCAATCAATTGAATGTTTTAGAAACTATTCATATTATTTATTGTTATTCTTTAAATTCTGATTTTGTTCAACAAATTATTAATGTTATTAGACCATTTAAATTAAAATCTTTGATCATGAACCAAATATTATTAAATGTTGAATTATTACAATTGCTAATACAAAAATTTGGTAGTGATTTAGAAAATTTTGGATTTGGCCATTATAAATTACCAATACAAAAAAAACAACAATTATTCAAATTAATTATAAAATACTGTAGAAAAATTAAATATTTTTCATTAATAGAACCCAATTATAATAATATTAATCCAACACTTAGCCTAATTGAAAATATTAATCAAAATCTTAATTATCTTGATATAAAATTTGAATGTTATTATGATTATTATGACGATTCATCAATTGGACAAATTCTTCCTTCTAAATTAGGATTTTTAAAATTAGAATTTTTTAGTATTAAACCAAGTAAACTATTGAAAATATTTTTAGGAAATTCTCAAAATACTCTTATCAAAAGGTTATTTATTAAAATCACAGTTCAAGAGGAAGTCAAAGATATTTTACCTCATATAAAAGAATACATTATGAAAAAGAAAAGGGCTAAATATTTAGCCATATTTATTAATAATCAAGACTTGGTTTCTTTGAAAGATGAAGTAAAAGAATTTGAATTATATAATATTAAAGTTCAAAAATATGATGAATATGATGAATCTTATATTAGAGTTATTGATATTGTAAACAACTAATTATTTGTGATTTAATAAGTTGGATGAAATAAAATATTTTTAACATTATAATTTATATGATATATCTATTTTAATACATTATAGAAGTTTTGATTTTTTTCCATTTGGTACTGGATTGATCACATCACGTCTTTATTTCTAATGTGCCAAATGTGAGTGGAGAAATAACAAATGAGGGATATCATATGAAGTAGTTACGTGATTGGATAATTTGGCGCTTTTAGTTTCAACCAACTTTGCCAGCAAGTTCTTCAATGTTTTTACTATACAAAATTATACAAAATCTTGTTTCTAAATCGCGAGTTCTGTAAGTGTTAAAGATAAAAAGGGAGGATTGGATGAAAGCTGAATAATATTGGGAAAAAAATCGAATTGATCGAAAAAAAACTATGTATAGTATAGACCTGCAAAAAAAGTGGATTGCGTGTTCGTTTGATACAAGTTGCACGCTACCTACTAAATGCCACAGACAGTTAATTTTTTCTATTTTTTGACAGATAAATTGACAATTAATATTTACAAATATTTTTATTTGGAATGTCATACGACAGATATTATGATTTATTTAGGTGATTTGAAGCAGATATACATTATGTTTGATAATTATGTAATTGACAACAGAAATTTTTCATCTAACTACTAAATAAATATCCAATTGAATTAGTGTTTCAGAATTTTTATTTACTAATAATATTCATGTTGAACGTTCAGATAAATTTACTGTTGTTTAACTGTATCGCAAGCAATATCATAATATTTCAATTACATTTATAGATCTTTCTAATCTATTCTAATCAGGATTATATTATTCAATTTTCTTTTAAAAAAAATTAAAATGTTCGGAAATGTAATTTCTAGATATTCTTATGAAATCTCAAAATTTACAAAAAAAAAAAGTAGCGTCTGTTCCGATATATAAAAGAATATTACCTTTGTCTTATTATAACTTAATCACGGAATCACGTGTAGTAATGTATCGTAGCTGACCCTTTTTCATATGTTTCCATTGTCCTCATTTATGGATAAATTTTAAATTTGACATTTTTTTTTATTGTTTTGATTTATTATGTTTATAATTTTGGATATTCAATTGTTTCAAACATTTTCGTTTGAAAGATGATCAAGATTGGATTCTTCGATTCTTTTTTTTTTTAATAAATTCCAACCCGATTAGATTATATTAAAATATTTTATAATGAAGTACCTAAATAATATAATTTATGTACAAAAGTAATACGTTTTGGATTAGTTTTTTTTTTTTTTTTGAAAAAAAAAGAGATTTCATAGTTAAAAAAAAAAACACTTTTTTCTTCATTTTAAAAATTTCATTTTCGATATCTTGATACTTACTCAGTAGTAGTTCGGAATATTTGAGGATTTGTGATTATGCGTAATTATTTTCAATGTTTGAGACTCCCTGGTATTAATAGAAGGTCAGTTTCAAATAATTCCATATTAAAATCAAATTAATTTCTAAACATTTTTTATAAAAAGAATTTATTTAACAATTTTGTTTTTAGTGCGAAATTATAAAATTATCCAATAAGATTTCTACATAATTCAATTAAAAGGAAGTTATCGGTCTTTTGTTTTATAGCTAATTTATCTTCTTTTGAATTAAAAGGCGAATAGAAAGTGATAAACAGAAATTTAGAATTTGAAATAAAATAGAGATTGCTCATAACGTCATTATATTCAGAAAAAGGATATATATTATATTATTCTATTTTCAATATTTAATCTTCAAATGTAATAATCTGTTTATATATTTTACGGCGAGATTATTATCTTCCGTTTTTTTTTTTTATTTCATTGCGATAGAAAAAATGACCTAAATCATTTTAATTTTCAATTTTTATATACTCATTATCAATAAAATTTTCCTGAAAAAATATGTCACCGTTTAATAATATCGAAATATTATACAAATAAAACTTATCACCAAAATTGAATTTGCATAAAAAATATCCTGAGTAATAACTAAAATAAAATATTATTAATTAATTTAAATAATTAAAAAGAAGGAAAGAAAATTAATTAATTTAACATTTAATATTTTTATATTATCATTAAAATTTACTGATAACCTAGAACAAATGCGGCATATTGAAATTTTATTTTATTATGAATTTAAAATTCTTTGAATTCTATGATGATTTGATAAAACTTCTTTTTTTCAATTTCAAAAATATCTTTTAAAATTATTGTAGAAATAAAAAAATCCAAATTCATTAAAATTTAATTTAGTATTATTTATTCCATGGAGGATTGGAGGTTAGGAATGATATCATAGCAAAGATTTCCGAAAAATAAATTATTTGTTACAAAATAAATTTTATATTCTTATATAACCTTGTTATTTCAAAAAATTTTTTTATACATTAAAAATTTATCATGATCTATTTTTTATATAAAATTTTTGTCGGCATTAGGGTATATATCTTACTGCAAAAAAAAACTTATGACATTACTGCACGTGATATAGGCCATAATTAATTTTGCAGCCGTGGCGCAATCGTATTACAATTTTAAAAGTATCCTCGTTAAATAAAGATTATGTTCTAATAAATCATGTGAGAACAAAACAATACGTATGATTAACAGGTTTCTTATTATTATGTAAGCAGATATGTAAGTAAAGGCTAAAGGCTTTTTAAAACTAAGCCTTAAAACAATTTGTTCGGCATAACTAAGCCATAGGAATCAGCCTGCATATTTTATATAAATATCATTAATTTTTACTCTAAATCTATTATATACAGTATTTATTTTTAATTTATTATCAATAATAAGTATCTCATTCCTGATTTTCAACAAGAATTTATTAATATAGTAAAATAAGTGGCTTTTGAGCTTTGTCATGAAATTTTAATTTAGAACAAAGTGAATTAAAAGGTTATTGTGAAAAAACAATCAAATTTGGTTATTATATATGACATTTACTGCCAGTTGATTATATAACTTTTTCTTTTATTTTGAAACTTATGTGGTTTTAATGACAGTAATAATTATTTTAATTCTGGTTTGCAATATTAAGATAATTTCAGCTAAACTCTAATAATTGAAAATATACTATTAGAAAAGGTACAAATTATTATTTAATTTTCTCATCATAAAGCTTTTATTATTATTGGAATATATTTTAATAATGATTATTAAACTTTGAACTTTTCTTGTAACCGGTAATCAGTTTATTTATATCAATTGTCATTCTAATCAATGTATGATACAAATCATTTATGTATATTTTTACTTTCATTCTTTAATATATCTCTACACTATTATATAATTTTTAATAAACTTGTAGTTTTTTGATTTGACATATGATATCATATTCATTTCTGCTAAGTGGGCCGAAGATGTGTGGCTGTGACTTAGGCTTTGATATTATCATGTGGTAAATTCTGATTTAAAAAATAAATAAATAGGTTCAAAATTTATTAATCTAATCATCTTTTCTCTCTTTTCCTTTTTTTGCTTAAGAAATAGAGAATATTTTTTTTACATATGAATTACTTATGTTAAAACTTTGAAAATTTTACCATATAATCAGATGATAAGTTCGTATAAAACCCTAGGGTTACGAGAGCCCTAAAATTTTTCATAGGCAATAAACCCGGAAAATTTTTATTAAGAGTCACATTATATGTAATATTGTCATGTGGCTGCATCATGCTTTTAATAATAATAAATCTTTGAGTGGATGGCGGTTAAGAATAGATAGTATTTCAACAATGCAAAGAGAAAAATCATCTATTTTATGTAATAACTTGGATAGATTTGAAGTACCATTATTTTAGGAATTTCAATTAGAATAATATTTTATATATCTCGCTCTTTTATATCTTTTTGGAATCCTGATTAGGATTTTGTAAATCAATGATTGAAATAACTTTTCAACTATGGACCATCGTTCTGCTACTTCTTAACAATATAGTATTTATAAGTCCAATTAGTACAATAGCCATTGTTGTCTAATAGATGAAATTGAAAAATTCATATCCAAGAAAACAAGGCATCACTTTACTTATAATATTATTATAGCCAATAGAGTTAATAAGAATTTAAAGTACTTCAACATTTATTTTGAAATATTCTAAGGAAAAATTCATTTAAATCACATAAGAATTAAAAGAATTTAAACAACTATTCACAAATTCATATATACCTTATAGTGCTTAATATCATTAATTAGTAGATACAAATATATTTACTATGACATTTTAAATTAAACAAATATTTATTTAAAAAGTTAAAACCAGAAGGAACAGTCCTATCACTATGATTGATAAACATAAGTAATAGATGGGTCAACTAAATTAGGTGTTGATAGCTATTATCTAAACTATACTCTGCTGGTTTCACATAATGCAATTTGTATATACCAAACTTTTGTCCAAATATTAGATATTAAAAGTCTTTTTATAATATTTAATAATAATGAATTACACACATTAATACAAAATCTGTTAGAAGAAAAGGTGAATCATTTGTAAAAAGATAAAAAGATGTGAAGTGGGCGACCCGTGACTTGGAATTAAATATTAAAAGAATATTACTACCTAACTACAAAAATTAGGTTTAATATTTCAGAGTTTTGAATTACATTAATTTGAATTACTTTGAACAAACTTTATTTTATATAAAATAGAAGATAATACAAATAGTAAAAGTGAAAACTACCACTTCATGCCTTCTATACACTATAACAATTGCTAGGACCAGAGATAAAAATGAGGTTTCAAAAAATGTTTGACTATTCTTAGTAATGAACTAGGTAGTAACTACAGCATGACTGGATTACAGATTATGGAAGTACTTCTTATTAATTCCTGATTCCCTATGGTTTATGTATAATAAACTACATTTACAAAGAACCTATAGGGGGACTAAGGGGGAATAAGATTTTATTATGGGTTATTATAGTTTAAAAATACAATTGATAGGATTTTTCCAGTGATACCAGGTATTTAGTAAATATGATAATATAATAAGCAAAT